AGCATTCGGCCTTGTCAGTAGAGGAGGTCAGGACTTTGAACTGGTTGAATAAAGGAGGTATAGAGGGTTTGCAATTGTTCAATACGCTCTTGCAGAGACGCCAATAATCTTTGGAGCCAAATTTGCGAGATAGAATACGTTCCTTCATTCGAGCCGCAAATAGTGACTTAGCATCATTGAGGACATGCTTACATTCGTTACGGGCGGAGGCAAAAGATGTCTATTGCAGTCAGACATGTCGCTACGGTATAGGTGGAAGTAATGGTTCCTATATGGGCGATGGCGGCTGAGCAAGCAGCCAAGAACCAGGGTGAGGAGCGCAACTTGACCCTATATTTCCTTGATGGGATGAAAGTGTCGATTCCAGCTTTAACCCAGGAAGAGACCTCAGAAGCACATTCTTGGACGGGGAGCTTAAAGACTGCATCCCAGGGGACATCGCGGAGGAAATCACGGAACGCGTCCAAGTCAGCTCGTTGATAATAGAACAAAGTTCTAGTGGTAGGAGGTTCTTTATAGGGGGTGGAGCTAAAGGAGATGTTAACCGATACGACTGCATGGTCAGAGTTACCAAAGGGCAGAGTTGCAAGGCACTGCAGGATTCGGGGATGGAGGTAAAGCACAGGTCGAGTAGAGAGGCTTTACCTTTCCAGTTGAAGGCAAAACGAGTGGGGAAGTTAACTATCTGTGTGAGGGAATGGGAGATTGAAAAATTAAGCGTTTGAATGCCTGCATGGTCAGTAGTAGCATTCTTAAGCCACAAGGTATGATGGGCGTTAAAGTCTCCAAACACAAAAATGTGAGCAAACGGGTGGAGGGAGAGAGCCTTGTCTATGTTGTCAGAAATGCTATCAAGTATCTCACAGTCTTGAGAGGATGGAGAGCGGTAAAGGAAGAAGAGATAGCTTACCGCATTGAGGAGAGACAGTCAGAGACACATGTATGACTGGTCAGGCGATTCGAGAGAGGACTCTCTGGCCAGAGGGAGATGTTCCTTGACGTAGACACCAAGACCATGCATGTGGGTTAGAGAGTCTTTTCTGAGGAGAGGAAGATAGCCGGGGATCGAGAGATCAGAAGAGGGGATAGATGAGGTAAGGTTTGTCTCACAGAGAGCCAGTACATCCGGGCCGTTTGCAGAGAGGAAAGTTTCCAGACTGCAGAAGTTTGTCCTAATGCCCCGGATGTTGGAGAACGAAATGTTTAGGGGTTGTAGGTGGTTTTTGAGACCCTGGTTTAGGGTTAATCTTTCGGTTTTATAACTCATGTTGAATTTTGTTTGTAAGATGAGAAGGCCCGAAGTAAAAAGAAACAGACAGTTTCGACCAATTCCGCTTTCAGACAATATATGGCAAAATCTGCATCATTATGTGGCCTCAGGGCTGCCCACCGGAGGTGACTGTAGGGACACCTTTCCATGTGCGACATGGCATTCAATTTTCCATTATTATACAACTGTTGATCAGAGCAGCCATTTCAAGATGCTACACAACTAAGTTAGGGCAAATAACTACCAGTCGGAAACAGCAACCAGAGAACTGTCAGCCGTGTACCCTCAGAATGAAGAGATGTTGCCACAGACTGCACACATCACGGGAGAAACAGAGCTGCACTAATACAGAGGTCGGAGAGAGAAACAGTTTGGGAACCCCTTCCTAGACAAGAAACAAGGGGTGAGGCCTACATCATGTCCAGAAGAAGGGGAGGAGGTTGACCGCTTTTTTTAGAAGAGACTACCTACTCCTATTACAGATAACACAAAAAGGACGACACAAAACAGAGGGAAGGATTGGGGGCGGGGAGATAACAGTTAAGGAGTCCTGGATCACACTTGGCTATATCCTATCACATTAAGTTTTAACTTAGTATAAGTCCCATTGTCTATTCTAAAAAGAAAAGGAGAAAAAAAAAAACGTTCGTTAGGATTTATTATCGCATCTAGTCAAAGACATTCAATTTTCCATTTTCCCGTGAGAATTTTTTTTTTTTTTTCTTTAACATTTCGAACTGGGATTTCTTACTAAATTATCAAATAATAGAAATTGGGACAAAAAATTGGGACAAAGGGAGGGAGGGGGGGAAAATAAAAATTTAAAAAAAAAAAAAAAAAAAAAAAATAAATAAATAAAAAATGAAAAATGTAAATGCATTCAGCTAGAGCGAATCTTTTTTAATTTGATGAAATTAAAACAATTAAAATCTTTTATCTGGCAAAATGTCATCAGGCATGAAAGTGCATATGAAGCAGATGGTCTTCATGGAATTCCTACATATGGAGAAAAAAAAATGAAGCCATCAAAATTCATTGATGATGGTGGATAATTATGACAACCAAACAGTAGATATAAACAGTATGGACATCCTGGCAGTTTCATAGCATAAATGAAGAGACCATGTTAGTACTCTTTGTGTAATAAACATCAAATGCATGCCACTGGAGGCTTGGTGGGGAGAGGGAATCAGATATTTCCCAATCTTTTTTTTAAAGATGTTCTTAGATCATTTCTAATTCTGACCTTGAGATTGTTTACTTTTTTTAATAAATAAAATGACTATACTATTTTATTTTCAGATTGTTTTATTTTCTATACTCTCTTCGGTTCTCATATTTTGAAAGAAAGTTTATTAGTTTTAGGTAGCATAATAGAAATTTGCAAACACTAAAACAAAATTCTCTTATGCTACCTACAACCACAGCATCACTCCAAAGACTAAACAACTAATAAGAAACTTTGGCACCATTTGGGTGGGTAAAAAAAAAAAAATATGTCAAAGCACAATTGGATCATACATTCATAAACAAGAACTGCAAGAAGAGTGCTATAAATTGCAAGGCATTTTATCAAATTGGTTCTGATCACAAACCATTAGCTACAAAGATAAGGCTCTCCCTAAGGGTAAATCAGATAGACAAAACAAAAATGTCCTATATGCTTGGTCCAAAATAGGAAGTGATGAGAATACATGTATAGAATATGGTGTCCTTGTAAACAACAGATTTTAATTACTTCAAACCGTTAACAAACATCAAAACTCTTGGAGAAAATGTCATCAAAGCACACAATGTTCAGAAACATCAGCACAACTTTAAGAAAAATGTAGAAAGTGGATTTCTTGAAAGAAAGCAAACATTGCAGAGAAATGAAAAAACACTAAAAGAATGCTATCTTGAAAAACAGAACTCCAGAGCCTGAGATGGAAGGATTGTTTTTTTTTTTTAACTTGTTCAACCATCCAACATAGTTGTTTTTTTTTGTTTTTTTTTTTTTGTTTTTTTTAATCCAAGTGTTTGAACTGTCAATTAGATGACCTTACTATTGAAGAAAGCCACAAAATCAGTTAAGTGAAATTCCTACAAAAGTCTCAAACTGGCTGCTTAGAAGATGCATTGTCTACAGTGTGCAATAAAAATATGCACCAGATGTTTGGAAAAACGGTGGAATCATATCACTTACAAAGAAATCTGTGGGCCTCAGCAAAATATATAGATGTGAGCATTTATATGAATATGCTCCTAAATAGAATTCAACAACTTGTTGACCCATGAAAGTGTAGCTCTTTAGGTTAACAGTTGAAACAGATTTCTTATACAAGTCAAGTGGTTGGACATTAACAAAATCTCTGGGAGAAAAATACTAGATGGTATATACACGTTCTCAACTACTGCAAGCAGCACTAAAAGTCAATTGGAAACAACATATGCCCAACGCAGAACCATATAAAAACTTGTCAAAAAGTACGGACACAATCCGTGAAGGGGTGAATGCTGTGTAGTGACCATTGATGGATAAGTAAAGAAGTTGTCGTCTATCAGCAAGGACCTTTTACAGATGATAATAGAAACAGAAAGGAACTGGGTAGAGCTATAGATGACAGATGTGGTTGGAAAGGGATTAGAAGTGTCCTTTTGAGGACTATCATATAGAAAGAACCAGAGAAAATAGACAACAATAAACAAACTCAAGGTCAAAACTGTAAATAATCTGAAAACATTAAGCCGAAATAAGTAAAAATAAAAAAAAGTTTCCCCACTCCTCTCTCTCATATATATATATATATATATATCTTTTCTAATGGATGGCCACTCCTTTCTGATGATGCTTGTCTACTAGGGCAGATAGCCAATCCCTGTTGCAGACACATGCTCAGGCACATTTGTGTTTGTTCAACACTCACAGAGCCTTCTGGTTTATACTGCAGCTATGCTGAGCAGACCATAGTTACAGTTTCTGGGAGAGAGTGCATTACCTGGTGGCATCAACAGCCTGAGCAAGGCCAGCACGCTTAAATCCTCAGTCATGATGACCTGTAACTTTGTGCTAGCACAACCATCAATGGTTCTCAAATATTTCCGTCTACCCAATTTCACTCCCAAGTCTTGAGTCACTCCATGGTATGGTTTTCAGGCACTTTCCAAAGGTGCTGCATGCTGGGATTTGCCTCCCGCCAGACCAATAACAGCAAAGAAATCACCTTCCTGACGAATCGACCATGGTGAGATTTGAAAATATATATAGCAAGAGAGCTTACACAAAATGAAGTAACACATTACACACACTTAATGCATGAAATTGCCAGTCACAATGCGATGCTGATGTCTGTTTACATTGTTTTTTATTATATATATATATATATATATATATATATTACTTACCCATGATGCAAAAGTTTCAACATGTTATACATTCATAATGGAAACAACTAATATAGAATGAAATTTAATTAACCACACATAAATGAGTAAATTTTTCAATAATTATTCAACTTCTGTATTTACAATAAGTGTTCAAATTGATTTCCATATATGTCAAAATACCTTTGTGGTGTTTACACAAAACAACATATATATTGTTTTTGTCTTGATTTCAGATATTCCCCACAACTCTAGAAAACATGGGCAGAGTTGCCAAATTGGGTTATTTCAAAAGCTGAGCACAACTAAATTTTGAATTTGTCTACTAGTGACTTAACCCCCCCCCACCAAAAAAAAAACCCTCTGGCTACAAAGCAGTCCTTAGCTTGACAAGCAATGGGTCCAACTTGAGAGCAGCTTTCACATTCCCAAACACTTTCAATTGGCCATTCATATAAGCTGCAAGAGGCTTCAGCTGTCCATCTATCATTCGAAACAGATCTTCAATGTTGAGAATCAGGCTGGCATCAACCATTGCACTTGTTCCTTGTCTCACATTTCCACAACCTGCAACCAGAAATTGTGTTCATTAAACAAAAGTGGCAAATGACAGGCACTAAAGTCAGATATTTTTATAAAATTTACTTGAGTCAGTCACATGGCTACAATTTTAGGACATTTACTACACAATAATAATTACCCACTTGATTTAACTATTATCACATAACATATAGAAAGAAAGAATATTGAGAAACATACACATTATACAGTCATTATGTTGAGGACAATTTCTCTGAAGGAACAGCATGCACATGTGAGTGGACTTTAGGTGAATAAGTTGTCCAAGTCTGCATCCAACTTCACAATATCTAGTCGACAAGTGAGAAAATTAGTTTCTCTGAAGGAACAGCATGCACATGTGAGTGGACTTTAGGTGAATAAGTTGTCCAAGTCTGCATCCAACTTCACAATATCTAGTCGACAAGTGAGAAAATTAGTTTCTCTGAAGGAACAGCATGCACATGTGAGTGGACTTTAGGTGAATAAGTTGTCCAAGTCTGCATCCAACTTCACAATATCTAGTCAACAAGTGAGAAAATTAGTTTCTCTGAAGGAACAGCATGCACATGTGAGTGGACTTTAGGTGAATAAGTTGTCCAAGTCTGCATCCAACTTCACAATATCTAGTCGACAAGTGAGAAAATTAGTTTCTCTGAAGGAACAGCATGCACATGTGAGTTGGACTTTAGGTGAATAAGTTGCCCAAGTCTGCATCCAACTTCACAATATCTAGTCGACAAGTGAGAAAATTAGTTTCTCTGAAGGAACAGCATGCACATGTGAGTTGGACTTTAGGTGAATAAGTTGTCCAAGTCTGCATCCAACTTCACAATATCTAGTCGACAAGTGAGAAAATTAGTTTCTCTGAAGGAACAGCATGCACATGTGAGTTGGACTTTAGGTGAATAAGTTGTCCAAGTCTGCATCCAACTTCACAATATCTAGTCGACAAGTGAGAAAAATTAGTTTCTCTGAAGGAACAGCATGCACATGTGAGTTGGGCTTTAGGTGAATAAGTTGTCCAAGTCTGCATCCAACTTCACAATATCTAGTCGACAAGTGAGAAAATTAGTTTCTCTGAAGGAACAGCATGCACATGTGAGAGTGGACTTTAGGTGAATAAGTTGTCCAATATCTGCATCCAAATTACAATATCTATAGGTTGGTAAACCAAGTGAAAATTAGTTTCTCTGAAGGAACAGCATGCACATGTGAGTTGGACTTTAGGTGAATAAGTTGTCCAAGTCTGCATCCAACTTCACAATATCTAGTCGACAAGTGAGAAAATTAGTTTCTCTGAAGGAACAGCATGCACATGTGAGTTGGACTTTAGGTGAATAAGTTGTCCAAGTCTGCATCCAACTTCACAATATCTAGTCGACAAGTGAGAAAATTAGTTTTCTGAAGGAACAGCATGCACATGTGAGTTGGACTTTAGGTGAATAAGTTGTCCAAGTCTGCATCCAACTTCACAATATCTAGTCGACAAGTGAGAAAATTAGTTTCTCTGAAGGAACAGCATGCACATGTGAGTTGGACTTTAGGTGAATAAGTTGTCCAAGTCTGCATCCAACTTCACAATATCTAGTCGACAAGTGAGAAAATTAGTTTCTCTGAAGGAACAAGCAATATGTCACATGTGAGTTGGACTTTAGGTGAATAAGTTGTCCAAGTCTGCATCCAACTTCACAATATCTAGTCGACAAGTGAGAAAATTAGTTTCTCTGAAGGAACAGCATGCATGCACATGTGAGTTGGACTTTAGGTGAATAAGTTGTCCAAGTCTGCATCCAACTTCACAATATCTAGTCGACAAGTGAGAAAATTAGTTTCTCTGAAGGAACAGCATGCACATGTGAGGTTGGACTTTAGGTGAATATTTTTGTCCAAGTTGCATCCAACTTCACAATATCTAGTCTTTTAGGTGAACAAGTTGTCCAAGAAATATTAGTCGACAAGAGAGAAATTCTCTGAAGGAACAGCATGCACATGTGAGTTGGACTTTAGTGAATAAGTTGTCCAAGTCTGCATCCAACTTCACAATATCTAAACAAGTGAGAAAATTAGTTTCTCTGAAGGAACAGCATGCACATGTGAGTGGACTTTAGGTGAATAAGTTGTCCAAGTCTGCATCCAACTTCTTCTACAATATCTAGTCAGATGCAAGTGAGAAAATTAGTTTAAATATCTGAAGGAAAACAGCATGCACATGTGAGTTGGACTTTAGGTGAATAAGTTGTCCAAGTCTGCATCCAACTTCACAATATCTAGTCGACAAGTGAGAAAATTAGTTTCTCTGAAGGAACAGCATGCACATGTGAGTGGACTTTAGGTGAATAAGTTGTCCAAGTCTGCATCCAACTTCACAATATCTAGTCGACAAGTGAGAAAATTAGTTTCTCTGAAGGAACAGCACATGCATACTTTAGGTGAATAAGTTGTCCAAGTCTGCATCCAACTTCACAATATCTAGAAGTGAGAAAGTTTCTCTGAAGGTCATGCATCCTTTAGGTGAATAAGTTGTCCAAATCTGCATCCAACTTCACAATATCTAGTCGACAAGTGAGAAAATTAGTTTCTCTGAAGGAACAGCATGCACATGTGAGTTGGACTTTAGGTGAATAAGTTGTCCAAGTCTGCATCCAACTTCACAATATCTAGTCGACAAGTGAGAAAATTAGTTTCTCTGAAGGAACAGCATGCACATGTGAGTGGACTTTAGGTGAATAAGTTGTCCAAGTCTGCATCCAACTTCACAATATCTAGTCGACAAGTGAGAAAATTAGTTTCTCTGAAGGAACAGCATGCACATGTGAGTGGACTTTAGGTGAATAAGTTGTCCAAGTCTGCATCCAACTTCACAATATCTAGTCGACAAGTGACTTAAAAAATTAGTTTCTCTGAAGGAACAGCATGCACATGTGAGTTGGACTTTAGGTGAATAAGTTGTCCAAGTCTGCATCCAACTTCACAATATCTAGTCGACAAGTGAGAAAATTAGTTTCTCTGAAGGAACAGCATGCACATGTGAGTTGGACTTTAGGTGAATAAGTTGTCCAAGTCTGCATCCAACTTCACAATATCTAGTCGACAAGTGAGAAAATTAGTTTCTCTGAAGGAACAGCATGCACATGTGAGTGGACTTTAGGTGAATAAGTTGTCCAAGTCTGCATCCAACTTCACAATATCTAGTCGACAAGGAGAAAAATTAGTTTCTCTGAAGGAACAGCATGCACATGTGAGTTGGACTTTAGGTGAATAAGTTGTCCAAGTCTGCATCCAACTTCACAATATCTAGTCTGACAAGTGAGAAAATTAGTTTCTCTGAAGGAACAGCATGCACATGTGAGTTGGACTTTAGGTGAATAAGTTGTCCAAGTCTGCATCCAACTTCACAATATCTAGTCGACAAGTGAGAAAATTAGTTTCTCTGAAGGAACATTGCACATGATGAGTGGACTTTAGGTGAATAAGTTGTCCAAGTCTGTCCAACTCACAATAGTGGACAAGTGAGAAAATTAGTTTCTCTGAAGAAACAGCATGCACATGTGAGTTGGACTTTAGGTGAATAAGTTGTCCAAGTCTGCATCCAACTTCACAATATCTAGTCGACAAGTGAGAAAATTAGTTTCTCTGAAGGAACAGCATGCACATGTGAGTGGACTTTAGGTGAATAAGTTGTCCAAGTCTGCATCCAACTTCACAATATCTAGTCGACAGTGAGAAAATTAGTTTCTCTGAAGGAACAGCATGCACATGAGTGGACTTTAGGTGAATAAGTTGTCCAAGTCTGCATCCAACTTCACAATATCTAGTCGACAAAGAAAATTAGTTTCTCTGAGATGGACTTTAGGTGAATAAGTTGTTTTGATGGATTATGAAACAATATCTAGTCGACAAGTGAGAAAATTAGTTTCTCTGAAGGAACAGCATGCACATGTGAGTGGACTTTAGGTGAATAAGTTGTCCAAGTCTGCATCCAACTTCACAATATCTAGTCGACAAGTGAGAAAATTAGTTTCTCTGAAGGAACAGCATGCACATGTGAGTTGGACTTTAGGTGAATAAGTTGTCCAAGTCTGCATCCAACTTCACAATATCTAGTCGACAAGTGAGAAAATTAGTTTCTCTGAAGGAACAGCATGCACATGTGAGTGGACTTTAGGTGAATAAGTTGTCCAAGTCTGCATCCAACTTCACAATATCTAGTCGACAAGTGAGAAAATTAGTTTCTCTGAAGGAACAGCATGCACATGTGAGTTGGACTTTAGGTGAATAAGTTGTCCAAGTCTGCATCCAACTTCACAATATCTAGTCGACAAGTGAGAAAAATTAGTTTCTCTGAAGGAACAGCATGCACATGTGAGTTGGACTTTAGGTGAATAAGTTGTCCAAGTCTGCATCCAACTTCACAATATCTAGTCGACCAAGTGAGAAAATTAGTTTCTCTGAAGGAACAGCATGCACATGTGAGTGGACTTTAGGTGAAATAAGTTGTCCAAGTCTGCATCCAACTTCACAATATCTAGTCGACAAGTGAGAAAATTAGTTTCTCTGAAGGAACAGCATGCACATGTGAGTTGGACTTTAGGTGAATAAGTTGTCCAAGTCTGCATCCAACTTCACAATATCTAGTCGACAAGTGAGAAAATTAGTTTCTCTGAAGGAACAGCATGCACATGTGAGTGGACTTTAGGTGAATAAGTTGTCCAAGTCTGCATCCAACTTCACAATATCTAGGACAAGTGAGAAAATTAGTTTCTCTGAAGGAACAGCATGCACATGTGAGTTGGACTTTAGGTGAATAAGTTGTCCAAGTTGCATCCAACTTCACAATATCTAGTCGACAATGGTTTCTCTGAAGGAACAGCATGCACATGTGAGTGGAGGGAATAAGTTGTCCAAGTCTGCATCCAACTTCACAATATCTAGTCGAAAGTGAGAAAATTAGTTTCTCTGAAGGAACAGCATGCACATGTGAGTGGACTTTAGGTGAATAAGTTGTCCAAGTCTCCATCCAACTTCACAATATCTAGTCGACAATAGAAAAATTAGTTTCTCTGAAGGAACAGCATGCACATGTGAGTTGGACTTTAGGTGAATAAGTTGTCCAGTCTGCATCAACTTCACAATATCTAGTCGACAAGTGAGAAAATTAGTTCTCTGAAGGAACAGCATGCAATGTGAGTGGACTTTTAGGTGAATAAGTTGTCCAAGTTTTCTTCACAATATCTAGTCGACAAGTTTAGTTTCTCGATGCACATGTTTGGACTTTAGGTGAATAAGTTGTCCAAGTCTGCATCCAACTTCACAATATCTAGTCAACAAGTGAGAAAATTAGTTGCAGTGAATGACCTGACTAAATTTTGTTGCTTCCCTCAGGCTGAACCAGCCAGACTGTCTTCTTATTTGACCACATGGCTTTGAAAGGAAAGGGAGGAGGTGTTCATTTTTTTTCACAAGAGTAATAGTATGAAGTGACTAGAATTTGAACAATATCTTGTAATCCCATTTTCTATAGCAATAATGTTACAACACATACATACATCAATACATTTGTAGTCTTGTATGGCCAAAAGACCTTCATTTTTATATAGCAATTTTCCTTTTTTTGTTTTCTTTTCTCGATATAATTTCATTTGTCATTGCACTTAATTCAGTAGTGAATATTAATCACATAGACTGAACATTATACAATGAAAATATCAGATCATCATTCACCTAATAACTGTATGTATAATATATAAACGTAAATATTCTCAGATTGAGTATATCTGTACAAGAGACAAAATGAATAAAAAGATGAAAACTATAGTCTTAGCTGACACATTTCATCATCCAACAGACTTTATCAAGGCAAATGTAGGGATTTTATTTTGCAACAAGTATCTATTTGACAGTTACTTAAAATTTTTAAATTTAAAAACACTCATAAATATTCATCAGGTTAACTGAAAAGTTTAGGTATTAGATGTTACTAGCAGCATGGCCTGGCGTTGCCTGTGCTTGATTCAAAAATCGTACGACTCGTACAGCAATCGCTATCACTTGACTTAAAATATTTTTGGCCTTCCTTGCCTTTAAAGGAGTGCGCTTTGTCGTGCTGATGTTGCTACATGCCTTACTTCTTGCCTATCTCACACTGCAAATTTTTCTAAGCTCTATACTAAACATTAAATCTGTTACAAAAAAAGAACTAAACAAAATGAACACAAAATGATCAGCTTTAAAAAAGGACTTATAACTGGAAAAACTGAATGAAAAAAGAATGTTAACAACAAATACTTTTTCACACCCAACCCAGAATCAGAATCAACATTGAGTTTGAGCAAGCGAATGAGCCAATTGGAGTAAAGTGGCATGCAGATTTAAATTTTTCCCACTTGTGACGAATGCAGCTATCGATTTTTTTTTTTTTTTTGCATTTGCATGCTAGTTAATATTCGTGTCAGTCACGCTGGTCAATAGAATCTTCCTGCCTATTCGTGGCATCCAGCTATAGGTTCTCACTTTGGCCAGTAGAAAATGGCTGCAAACTATATGAAAACTGCCATAGAAGCATGAAAAAATCGATTATTTCCACTATCGATGGAAGTTAGGAAATGCAAAGTCAGTCTTGGCCTTTCCGCTAACTTGGAGCATGTGCATGTAAATTTTGGTGCAAATCCATTGAAAATTGCGTCCGTGCATTTGTTACACACACACATCCTGCCTTTTATAGATAGATGTTTTAAAAACAACTGGCAAGGTACTGCAATTAATCTTTTTATTTAATTTTTCTTGTTCATACAAGTGTTTTCTTTTTTGGACACACAAGCAGAAATTCTTGCTACATTAATTTTAAGAGTGAATGCCCATTTAGATATAAAATCCCTAAGGAGAGCACACAACAATTCATCTGCTCACCTCCTTAAAGAACTCAATAATGCAAAATGTACACTAGTTAACAATGGTCTAAGATTTTGAATGAAACCTGCCCTCTGGAATGTAATTTATTAGGGTTGTTGTAGCTTCTTCCTTTAATGTCAGTCTTCTCCCTCACCCCTTACCCATCTATATCTAGAGACAATACATGTTAGCCAACATACAGTGGGGTTTAGAATAAGGAATTGAAATGGTACATCTAACTATTTTCATATCTTATCTTCTCTCCCACCTCACTTCCTCACTTCGTTAATTTTACATATGCTTGATGCGGTCCGGCAAAAACGTGTGATTTTCTTTTCATTTTTCATTTCAACCTTTGGAAGTAAAGTCTGATGATCCAGAGCCCCGTTAAAGGGGTTGTGGTGAAATAACTTATTACATGGAACCTTAAAGTGGTCTGTTTTGGAAAATATATATATATATATATATATATATATATATATATATATATTACACACACACACACACACACACACACACACACACACACACACACACACACACACACACACACACAACTTCATTTAAAAATGTAAAAGTACCAACTATAATAGAATATTCAAATTCTTAAGAAAAATGTTTAAAATATTAGTCTTTTTTTTAATTATTGATAAATTAAAGTATTTTCCAATTGTATTAAACAAAGACAAATTCCATATAATGCAAAGGATAACATTAAGAGACTGTGAAGAATAGAAATCTTGCAAGGGATCAAAAATAAATCCTGGGGCTAGATGTTGCATTCAATAATCTAGCTAAGATTAGCAGGTTTAAGCTAGGGTAAAAACCAAAAGGAATACCAACACTTCAAGACTCAGCCACACAAGTTTGGCTAAAAAACACAAACCAATGGTAATGGTAATATTAGCCATTTCCCTATAAGGAAATATTTGGCATTCATTGACTTAGCAGCTAGTACTGCTTTCAGAGAAAATTTATAAAATCTTTCTCTTAAAACAATTTTTCAGGAAAATAAGTTTCTTCAGTCCAGTATCTGTTATCGTTGTTTCCAGTATTGATCGAGGTTCCTTCCTAACAGTTTATTTGAAGTGGTGTTGAATGTTACCATTTTATGTCATTTTCTCTTCAAATTACATGTTCTATACAATTTAGTTGTTGCCGCTATTAGTAGTCCTCAAGTGATGTGGTTTCTGTTCTTTGCTCCAGTTCTTTGTGATTATGTAGCACCAGTTCACAATGTTCAAAGAAGAATGATCTTTGCCAAAACATTCCGGCTTTTCTCACTCAAAACCATTTTTAACTATTGATCTTAGGAAGTGGTTGTATACAACTGACAGTTTAGATATTTCTGAACAGGTTTGACACCGTGAATGACATCCATATAAAAGTCTTGAACTGACATGACATGAGTTTTCAGGTGAATGTTTTGATTTTCTAGCCATTTTTAGTGGTGGGCAAAACTATATATATATATATATATATATATAATAATAACATAAGATAATAACATAATAAAAAAAAATATAAATATAATAAAAGTAATATAAGTAATGTAACCTTCAGCATTTATTGACAGTGCTACTTTCGAATGAAATTTATAAAATGTTCCTTTTACAACAGTATTAGATTTTATTTTGGATGTGGTATGGAATGCTTAAATTGTCAATGCCCAGCTCTTCACATCTGTATTTAAGGTGAATGTTTTGATTTTATAGCAATTTCTGGTGTTGGGCAAAATTGTCTGGCATACCTTATTCTATGTTCAATTTTATTTTCACCTATACTAAATTTGCTATAACTGATCCATATGCCAAGGTATCTGAAGGGTTTAGTATTTAGTAATTACATATTCTGAATTTTCATGGATTCAGGGTAGGTACTATCACTGCTTTCATTCCAATTCTATATAGTTTCTGTTTTGGAAACATTTATCTTGAGTTTTATTTCTTGGTAGAGGATGTTGATTTTCTCTTCAAAATCATTCTTATCCCAATTATGAATACCTATGTCATCAGCATAGCCACACCCACCTCATCATCATCAGTACATTATCCTTGAGAAGGAAAGAATTACCCATATTGCCTAAAAATCTGTTGTTAACCAAGTTCAAATATTAATTGTTTTTAATCCGTTTTGATTGGCACTAATCAAATTTTTTAAAGTGAAATGGTATAGTTACAGTACTGCAAATAGATTCAGCAGTGTTCAAATATATAGTTTATACACCCTAGATCAACCGTTTCCCCATGAAACCATATTCTTCAAACTGATTGGAATATTTCTCTCACCATTTTTGAGATCCAAAACAAAACTTAGACTTGAGTAAGCATTTGCTTCAGATTCAATATTGATTTGGTATACTGCCTGGATTGCTTTGACTAAATCCTCACTCAGCACGGATTGAAGTAGATCTAAAATTCTCTCTGGTTTACTCAATTTCTGGATTGATTCTTCTTTACAAGTGGATCTCTCCTGAGGACCCATCTCTGCACCTGAAAAGAAAGTTTCAATGTTCTTATCATTAGTCATCATAGGCAAATACAGAAGAAGATGGCCATTTATTCTTTTTTTCTATAATGTAAAGTTGTTTATATTTATAAATCATTTGGTTCTTATCTCAAAGACCTTGTTGCCACAAAGAAATCAGAGTAAACAGATTCACACCACCCACACTAATGCTAAATTAACAGTTAAAAAAAAATTCAGGGTTGTGTGTTAAAGTTATAATTTTTCTTTGTTTGCATTAAGTTCAGCCTAGTCTGGCACAGGGCTAAGTGAGAATGAATGTGGTAGAAAGACTACATGGGTTCAAACATTAACACCTGAAACTATTGAGAAATACACAACTACCACAGCCACAAATTATAGAGAATGTGCAATATCTACAAATACTGATTTTTCAAGGCAGGCACTCTTTCCACTTGGAAGATTGGTACAACACAATCTTTCTATTCTTATTCTTCCTCCATCTTTTGTCATAAAAGTCTGCTGATAGCAATAAAGATTAATCAAAATAGAGGCACTCAGCCATCATTACTGACTTTTTTCTTTGTCACATTTTATTCAAATTGTGCAATTCTATCAAGATAAGTCTCCTTATTTACCTTAAATAAAAGTCTAAAGTTCGATGACCCAAATCCTGATATTTTACAAGTATCTATGTAAATGCAAGTCTTTATGATGAATGAAAACTTACTTGCTGGAAATAAATCTGCACACAATATTTTCTTGACATTTTCAGAAAGACTGCTTCATTGAATATAGAAACATAATTCTGTATTGGTCTCTAAAGCTTCGAATTTAGTGATTATTTTCATAAAATTTCGTACATCAGTTCTGGCCACATCCTCCAAGAGTGGCATTTGAGCACTCTCAAACTGATGGAACATGTGGAATAGTAAATCGCACAGTAATTCTGGTAACACTGTTTCATTTATATACTAATAAACATATTGTATTAGTGTATGTTGGAATAGTAAATATCTGAACCTTACTTTACAGACATCCATTTCTACATATGAATTTACAGCCATATCATGTTGATATTGTCCAATCATTGAAGTTAAGCAAGATTGAACCTGGTCAGTACCTAGATGAGATGTGCTGGTGATGTAATGGATAACAGCTTAGAATGAAAAGTCAGTTTGAATTTCAGTTCAGTTGGTTATGTTCACTTACATGCAAATACCTTTGGGAAAGGTATGAACCCATCTTTTCTCTGCACCAACAGTTGTGGGTACATTGCAGGAGAGGCGGGACCTTTAGCCTTGGTTGGCAAGCAGTCTAGGAGAAGGAAAACTCTGAATCTAAACTAGCCTGGAAACAGTTGACAATGGACAGATGAGCTTCTTATAAGAGCCAGTATGCAGCTATTTTGGAAAACTGTTATATGAATAAAAACCTGTGATTGCAGCAGCATATGCCATGTGGCACACAGTGCGCCAGTACAAAGCATGGATCTATGATGGAGAGTGGGTGCATTGCAGAGCACAGATAATTGACCACATTAAACAATTCACTTGTGCAGGTTTTTCAGTAAAAAAAATTACTGAACCCACATCCATCGTTCTTGACAGGATAATCTCTCATATAATTTTTCCACAATAGAAGATTCAACTTTTGAACAAGAGTAGAGGTTGTTTACTGTTTAGGATTGGGTTTTTGGTTCCTTCTAAATTTTACTTCAACTTTTTACTTCTAACATCTTCACCTAAACTATGAAATTTATACTATTATTGTTTCCAGTTGCTTCTAAAGTCTTTTCCTTCTCTTTCAATTCCAGTAGCCCCCTTGCATCTTTGTGATGTCACTGTTGGGATGAATTGATTTTTATATATATCTACACACACATTATTTGAGCATCAATTTTTCATTTATGCATGTTTGATTGAAAATAAATTCTTTAAGATTATTTCATTTTATTCAATTTTTCTTCTATTCAGAATATGAGAGTATGATTTTAAATTGCCCAATGTTTTGTAATTCCTTTTAGCTTTCCTGCTGTAGAGTAGTTTTCACAGTGGAGGCTTGTATTTCACTAAGTCGGTCCTGAATTAGGTTCAACATACAATAACGTTAGGAACTTGTTATAATAGTTAATGATGCAGCAATCTAGTTGTGATGGCTGATACTTTAATGTCCGACATCGACTGACTCACCAACTCCACTCTGAGCCCCCTGGCAACTGCTACTACTACTACTTATCTGTGGGAGTGTCTATTAACAATAGAATAGGTATGTTCCAGTATAACATTTCCTCAGTCAGTATCAAAAAATGGGGTTTGATCTATAGGTATGCATTGTGTTGCATCTTCATGGGTTGAAATGTTTGTTTTTTTTTTGTTTTTTTTAAATGTATTGCATCCTCATGTCCTTGTTAAATAAAATTTAATGTTTGGAAGCCATAATCATCAATGATTGTGTTAATACAAAGCCACAAGTCATCTTGACCAAGGGTTTCAGCATACTGGCCTTGTTCAAAACTGTTTACTCTCTCTCCCAGAAACTATAATTAAGTTTTACTTAGCATGGCTACAGTATAAATCCCAGGTTGGCTCTGTGGGTGTTAAAGAAACTCAAATGTGCCTGCAACAGGAATTAGCTACCTGTCCTAACAGAAAATGGCAATGTGCAGTATTTGTAGAATATGTAAATCCATTTAGTTCCTAGCCAATTGCAGTGCAAGAGTTGTCAAGTTGAATAAACGGCTTTAAAGAACAAATGAATCAAGTTGATTGCTTTAAAAACCTGGGGGTAGAAAAAGAATAAAAACTTCTTTTTCTACCCGCAGGCTAGTAGTCAACTGACTTTGGGTGGCTGCAAGTGAGTGAAGCCAACTTCATGACTTTTTGAGAAATTCTATTCACCTTGTTGCCCTATTATTACATAATAATATAAGCTCAAACTGAATTTAGAAGCAAACATCAAAGTTTATGTGGGTAGAGGGTTTACCATCTTCCTTCTCCTACCACATGTTGTGAATTTTCATGAAAAGAGAATAACCTCTCCCCACCCACATTCATTACATTTTTGCATTTATTTTTATTTATTATTTATTTGCTATATTAAATTGTTGCTCAAACAAAACAAAATTATCCTAAAAAGGCTTATTTGTGTCACACATTAAGTTTCATGAAATAATGACCAAAATACTGAATTTTCTTACCTTTGGAAAATTTTCTATTTAACAAAGCCAAAGACAATTGTTTCAAAGGAGCAGGCAAGGCAGCAAGAGATGATTGCCTTTCTTCACCAGTAGAAAGACATTTGGGTAAAGTTGGTTTTGAATTTGGGCCCATAAGGACTTTGACAAGTGATCTACAAGTAACAGATTTTTTTTAATCACATCCCAATAAAAGATGTTTAGTCGAGTAGATTATTTCAATTACTTTCATCAGATTATACGAGGTGTGGCAGAAATATTTCCCATAAAATGGTAAGATATGTGTCATCATCTAGCTAATGTCTTATGTGGGAGGTATTTCTGCTGCACTGTGAGTGAGATATTAGAAAGGGGATGAATTTTTTTTTTTTATTAATCTGACAGATTTTTAATAAACATTATTTTTAGTGGATACTCATATTTGAGTAGACACTCTGTTTATTTATTTAACATTATATTTATTTACTTTATTTTTGTCTACCGACCTGAATATTCAAGAAATCTTATTAGAGAAAAATATAAACTCTTTGGCAGGATTTGATCCTATGTTCCTCTTTGGGAAAAAGTCATTAGATCTGATGCACTTTGACCTCTCAGTTACAGAGGGCATCAATGATCAAGCAAAATCGATTAGTGCCTTTAAAGTATGTTTTAAAGCATCTAACGACAGTTCCACCGTAAGGGTATGCATTCTCAAATCCTGCCAGAAACCAAGTATTTTTCTCTAATAAGATTTCTTAAATATTCAGGCCAGTAGACAAAAATAAACATATATTTAAGAAATAAACAGAGCATCTACTTAAATACAAGTATCCACTAAAAATAACATTTAAGTAATAAAAAGAAATATGAGAATTTCCAGCATGGAAAAAAATACTTAAATTTTAGTGTATAAAATGATTTTATGAAAAAAAATAATAATAAAATCCATTTTTGTATGAGTGTCACTGTAAAAATAAATGTATATATATATATTTTTAACAATTGAAGAAAGGCCAAAACACTAGTAAAATTTGAAAAGAATTCTGTAGATTTTATAGATAAACTGAAACTTATGTCATATTTGTTATTCACTGGTTGACATTGATGTTACTTTCCAGCCTTTCTATTTTAAAATGTTTTGGTCATCACGTATTTATTATTTACAATAAAATGTAGACAGCGTTTAGACATAGAGAATATTAACAAATATTTTCTAGTTTCAAGGAAGATAACTTTAGAAAATTTATTGAGAATTATTGCCCTTTACATTTTTTTTTTCCTTCTTTTTTAAAATTATTTTCCTATTATTTAGGCAAAAAAGATTATAACTTAACAATTGCTATGTAGCTTTATAATAAAATACTTACAGTTCACACCGGTTTATTTCTACACCCCAGCCTGCAGCAGCTTTGTTGCAGTCAACCTTTAAGGGAAATTTCTTTTTAATTATTATAGGGCATCAAAAATAATTGTAGCTACAAAGTAATCAACCAAACAAGCAGACATAAATTATTTTTTTTGTTTTCTTTTGTATTCAAAGGAAAGTTAACACCAGTTTGTAGTCTCCAATCCTTAGCTAGAATTTGCTCATGATTTTGGGGGGCTTTTCTAGAATTAATGTTACTTTATAAGTAACTCCAGTAGAAACAGATGGCTTTAATTAGTAAATAACTTTACAAAGCAGCTAAAGATGAGAGAAGCCAGAAAAGATACAAACAAAATATTCACAAATTTAATGACTAAATTAACTATTTTTTTGTGTGTGGGGAGGGGTAAAATTATTTATTTCCTAACAAACATATAGTAACTTGGGCTTAAATTTCTACTTTGTGAAATCAATCACAATTAGTGATGACTTCTTCTTTAATAAAACCAATCTTTAAAAGGGAAAAGTATTGGTGCAATGCAATGGTGAAATGCTAAAAGAAATTATTGGGTTGGTGCATAATTATCAGGCGTTTTTAACAATATTTATTATGACAAAAGAAACCTAACAATTCAACAATAACATTTTTAAATGATTATTCTATAGCATATGACACACATTTTTATAATCTGAAAATAAAATATTTCTATTTAAAAAAAAGTAAACAAAACAGCAATTTTTATTAACAAATGACTTGCCTAGAAAAACGCCTAATAATTATGCAACAACCCAATATAATTGATCTTTCATGAATATATCTGGAGCTTCTGGGATAAACCAATATCTTTATCTTTGTTGTTTTGATCCTTAAATTTCAGGGAGAGCACTCACTGTTGAACATTACATCTGGTAATTGATATGTAGCTAAGAGTGATAAGGATTTTCTTCACATCAGGTGAACATTTTTTCCTGTTCAAATCACAAAAGACCAAATGTCAATTATTACATAGCTCTCCAACCATCCTCAGGATCTAACTGATCAAAATCATCAAAGATAACGAAGGTAGTCCAAATAATGATACATGTTAGAATTATGAACATGAGAGAATAGAAGCCAAAGAGATCTCACCAGTGGAAGATTCTTTACTGAAACAACAAAGAGAAGGAAACTGTTGGAAACAATTTCTCAAATCTTATAGAAGGGAAAAACAATTATTTCAAGCGAAAAACACAATTGTATTCAGTACCATTTATGCTAAGGTATAGTCAGTTTTTAACATCAGTGTTTTTTAAGCAAAAAAAAAAAACTAAAAAAACTAAAGTTGTTTTACTTTACAGAGATAAATTTTTTTTCTGGAGGGGATAAAATTCATGCAAAAAAAATTCAAGGGTCACACTATACATGACGTGTTCAGCAGAGGAAGGACGTATTCAACAAAAAATTGAAAATTGCTTTTTTCACTGCAAATTATTCATATCATATCATATCCAGCATTTTACAAAAGATTAGAGCTAATTACATAATATTTAAAGCTCAATTTAGGTTTATAGTTTGTAATCATGCAATATCATTATATTAAGTAACTCCATAAGATCACTAAAAACAGAGCATAGCATGCCAAACTTGACGAAAACAAAATTTTATCATCTAAATATTTATGTTATCATTAAGAGGAAAGACCAAAGTTTTTTGTTTTTAATTATTTAGTAAAATTTTTCCTACTTTTTAGGACATTCTAAATTTTGATTAAAAAAAAAAAAACCTTGTTTCTCTTTGTATCACTGGAACTAGTAAAATAACATACAATTTTTAGCATGTTTTTTTTTTTTTTTTATGACAGACATTAATTTGGAAAATCTTGCAAAAATAAAAATAATTGTCAGATGTTAATGAAACTTTCAGAAACTATTTAGATGGTGGAAATTATTATAAATATGTTTTGTTTTTTTTTATTAAAAAAATTATTTTTATATTTATTACCACCCCCCACCATAACTAATTTTATGAAAACTCTAGAAATTCGATCGAATACAGTTTAGTGATCAAAATAGTTAAAAGCACAAGGCTTTGAGGAATGCAAATCATGTTTTGTTTTTTTTGTTTTTTTTTAACTGGACACCACCACCACTACACCTGAAAATCAGCTCTGAATTGTAACATACAAAACTCAATAAAACAAAGATATTATTTAATTTCAAATGCTTTTATTTGCTTTTATGAATATGGACAATATTTTCTGAAAGTAAAAAATTTTTTCAATGAAAAGTGAATTTTTAATACAATTATTTGTTATTTCATTAATTATAATAAATTTTTACATTTAAGTTGTTAAAATATTATAAAATTAGTTAAAAGCAGCATCCACTTTTGTAAATGTCCTTATGAGATAGATCTTTTTTTTACCACATTGTAAATTGTATCGTTTTGACTAATTAGAAGACCCGCAGTAATTAAGAAATGTAATTTTGTGTTTATAATTGGGCTGTAATTATAAAGTATGGAAGACCAACCAGAATACAATTAAGTTGCGTTATTTTAGTTAAGCATTGTTCTCTGCTGTTAAGGCCTTTACTTTTCTGAAACACGTGTGGAAAAGTCAATTTGATTTTTCAATTTCAACCGAGAAGGTTACCTACAAGTATCAGTATCATGTTATGAAATTTATATGATCTCATTTTTATATTAATCTATTAATATTATGAAATTTTTCCATAAATGAAACATCAAAATTAATAATAAAATGAATGGAAATACAAATAACACAGTAAAATGTAATAAATGTACATAAAATTATAGCATTTTATGTACACTTCTGATAAAATTTCATAAAAATGGTACCTATAAATTAATTAGATACCTTTCTTATGAAGTTTAATCTCACTCTCAACAGTCTTATTTTAATTTCTTTATAATATATTTTCTATAAAGCATCGTAAACGTAAAGGTGAAAGCTAAGTACAAAAAAAAAAAAAGAAAAATTAGAGCGCTGAAAGTTTTTCCTTAAAAATAACGAGGTAATCTGTTCACTTAAATCTAAATAATTTCACTTTTCTCCTTCCGTAGAACAAATTATCCTCACTATGAATTATCAATATGTCATTCATCACCTGTCAAGTGACGCGAAATGTTATGACCTGCTTTGTTTTATTTTCAAACCACATCTTTTCGGTGCAGAAGCTAAGTTAAGCTTGGTTCAAAATATTTTAAATAAACATTATAATTTCTGATCTTCTTAAAATACGAAGTTTTGAAAAAATTATAATTGATTTTTAAAAGAATTTCAAATTGAGATTTTCATTTTTTTTATAAAATGGAAAAAAATGGTTGACATGATCGATTATTTGTCAATTTTGCTGACTTAAAAAAAACAGGATTTTAAATGAAAACTTCGGACATGCTAGGAATGATTAAAAAATGTAAAAATATACCCCCAAAATAAATTTTTCTTTGCTCTTAATAATAACATAAACGTAAAATTTTGTTTCTGTCAAGTTTGGCGTCTTTTTCATCATGCTATGCTCTATTTTAGTGATCTCATGAAGGTACCTACATTATTGTTACATAATTATAGTGAAATCATTAAGTTTTTAGTTAAAATCGTTTTATTTTTGGTCATACATTTATTTAAAATATTCCTTTTTACAGGCTTTACTTTTGAAATTGAATAAGATCATTCTAATCAAGTGATGATGTAACATCATCACTTGATAAGACACCAGAAGTGTTGAAACAAAATGGCTATTTTGTAGTGATGTTATAACATGTTTGTTATAGTTTTTGAATATATATATATATATAAAATCAAGAAAAGTGTGTAGTGCCATTAAGCACAAATGATAAAAACCTGACATTTGACCATAAGAGAGTAGAAGTTGAGGGAAATTTCATGTTATCCAAATTTTGACATTAAGAAGTCATGAAATATGTCCATCTAAATTAACTGACCTGCACAGAGTTGACAATGGCAGCTTTTTGTTTCTCAATTTCATCTAATGCCCTGTGAGTGAGTTGCTTAACCAGAGCCATCTGCACAAGGAGGCGGGTGGAATGATTTAGATCCTGTACACATGTCACCGACTTTTGTACGTTAACAATACGAAGATAGACATCAGCTCCAACTTCAATGGCAGCACCATCCACAGTGAGTAGCTGGGAAAGGAAAGAAAGTATTTAGAACATTTGTACAAACTACCAGAGTTTAATATCTTCACCCACACACATGTATGGGTAGTGTAATGAGTAGCAGCTTGTGATGAGAAATCAGAAAGCCAAAATTATTACATTCATGCAAATACCCTTGGGAAAGGTATGAATCTGTCTCTTATCCCTCCAGCTATGAGTTAAATAATAGAACAGACTGCTTTTTTGTTTTTTAGCCTTAGCTGACAATCAATGTAAGAGGAGGACAACTCAAAATTCAAAACCTGAGGAGGGTCATTTTTGGGACCTTGTGATACACTCTGTTCACTAGTTCTGTGTATTCAGTTCTTCTGAAAAGTCTGGGTTGTTCTGCATAAAAGTTCACCATTATAATCCTGTCCTGATGTATGAGAAACTACATCCATCAACAAGGCTTCTGATCAGGAGGTTTTGAGGAGCATGGAACTACCTCTTAATTGGTGTTGTTCCCAGGGTTAGCACCTGTTAGGATCCCAGATTTGGGCAAATAGTGAATCCTCAAACAATGAAAATACAAAAATACATTTAAAAAAAAAAAATTATCCAGTAATACATTTTCATAGCAAAAAAATTAAAAAAATTACCATCGGTACATTATTGGAAAGAAGAAAAAATTTTTTAAAATTACTAAAGCTCACAAGAAAAGAAAATTTCAGCATTAAATGATTCATAATATATGCCATTAAACAAACCAAAACATAATAATCAAATAATCTGACTGTTCAGTAGTTGAATTGTTACACTCCTGCCATCTTCAGTTTAAGAGGGTTTGTGTGTGTGTGTATATATATATATATATATATATAATCATAGGAAATGGATTAAATCTGACAATTATTTTAATATATCTTCTGCTTATACATTATTTTTTTATGGATACATTTTTTAAAGTAAATGCTCTGTTTGTTAAATAAACAGTATTAATTACATTTACTGGCCTGAATGTTTGAGAAATTTTATAGAAAATATGTTCTCTAGAAGGAATTGAACCTGCATCCTATACGGAATCACCATTAAGCCTGGCATGCTACAACCATTCAGCCACAGAATTTCTGGTTAAGCAAAGCTTGAATTAATGTTTTACACACACACACACAGTCTTTTGCTGACCTTTGTTAATTTATCATATTTGTTCTGTTTTCATATCCTAACTAAACCAATGATGATATATTATGGGAAATGGACTAAATCTGACAATTATTTTAATATATTTTCTGTTTATACATTATTTTTTTATGGATACATTTATTTAAGTAAATGCTCTAGTCTTTAATTAAACAGTATTACATTTACTGGCCTTTTTGTTTTTGGAAGTGAGTATATATATATAGTTGAATTTTGGTAAAACATTTACTTTTTGTTTTTTACTTGTATTGTCTTTACAGAATTTTTACACACACACATATATATAAGGGATACTCCCAAATTAGTGTCTCCTGTTTATATCCACAAAAATGTTATTGTATAATAACACCATTGAATAGAGCAAGTTACTGGCTATGAATTTTTCTTTATTCCCCCTGCAATGATTATGTGTTTTCTAGGCGAACTTCTATTTACAAGTTGACAGCTGTGCAAGATCATCAGAACCATAAGCTGTGCAACATATCCATGCAGAAACCCATCACCTAGCTGTGCTCACATCCACTCTTTGGTCTCTGCAAGTGTTGATAATTTTTTTCTGCATGGAAGAATTCAATGACACAATTTCTACTTTGAATGCTCTTTTAAATCATTCACCATTTTACGAAACTGTTGTTCAGCTGTTATCTGTAACAAGACAAAAATAAATTATGGATTATTGATGGGAAGGTTTAACTTCGACATCAATATCCACTTCTAATATTGTAGGTCAATATAAGAAGAAAAAAAGGGGCATTACTTTGAGAGAGACCCCCACACAGGCATATTATGTACATTTTTAAAATTCGTGAGTTTTTTGTTTTTTGGGGGGGGGGGTTCAGACCTTCCCCAAAGGTAATCAGATATGGAGAGTGTGGGCCTTTCTCTACTAAGGCTAAAGAACACAATCTGTTCTATTATTTTACTCATAGAGGAAGAAGAAAGGACAGATGGATTTATACCTTTCTCAAGAGCATTAGTACTTTACAAATGAAAGGTGATAGTCATTCATGAATTACCATGTGACTTTTTAAAATCAATTAGTAACCTAATATTTCCTTACATACAAAAAGAAAAAAAGATTTCAAAATCTACATCAAGTTAATATTGATGTCTTACAAAATGATATGCATACCTCCTCCAGTAATTTTTTTTTAAATCATTACTCTCCACATATGCCTAGGTCTTTATTATCTGAGGCTTACGGTCACATCACATTGAAACACTAGTTCCTGTAGGATAACTGAAGTTAAGCAATGCCAAGCCTGGTTAGCATCTAGATGGGTGATCATTTGGGAATATCAGGTGCTGTAAGCTTGCATGTGTGGGTGGTGTACTAGAAAAGGTTCAAAATTGTTAATTGGAGAGCCATGCTCCAATTCTCATTGAGTTTGTTATATTCACTTATATGCAGATACCCTTGGGAAAGGTATGAATCCAACTCTTCTCCTCCTTGTTATGGGTTAATTAGTAAGACTTACATCACTAAACTATTGTCTCAAAAAAAGAAAAAGAAAAAGAACAAATCTTACAATCTATAAATATTTTCCGGCTATTTAAACCTGCAAAAGATTGATTTGTTTTCTACAACTTATCAATCATTTATTATAATACTTTCTTGAGAAAGCATTATAATAAATTATCCTCTTAGATTAGTTGCCACTCAAGGATAGTCGATTTTATCCTACTATTTAACCCATCTGTGGAGAGAAAATATATTTATGCTTTCTTAAGAGTATTAGTGCAAAAATAAACACAATAGGCATCAACTATCAAAGAGATCCCTAAATGATGCTACTGTCTACTCTTGGAACTATTGCCTTGTGCCATTAAGTTTAGTAAATTAATTAGCATTTTAAAGAATCTGCCACAAAACAATTTGTACTTCTATAATTTAACTGGGAAATTCTATGAACCATTTTAATCTCTGCATATTTAAAGGTAATTCTCTCTATTATTCACAGTTTAGTCATTTTAAAGAAGAAACCGACTTTTCTTATTTAATAATTATTTTTTTGAGATGTAAATAATGATTTAATAACAACTTTATTCACTAATCAGTTTTTGTTTCAAAGCATTAACAAGCCCACTTATACAAGCCTCTTTATATATCCCTGATAAAAACTACTTGCAGTATCCTAATTAGGCAATTTCATTTAGACAAATCAACTTTTAAGAAAACATGTTAATATAAAATAAAAGAAAACAGAGACTTAGATAAAAACCAGTGAAATCCTTAGGTAATCAGTTAAAACAGAAATGGTTGACATAGGTGAGTATCTACCAAGGCTACTAGTGGTAAATATTCTGGTCTTGGTTTAAAAAAAAAAAAAAAAAAAAAGTCAGTATTTCAAATGCTGATTTTCAAGGCAGACAGGTCATCCATCCCAATCTCCTCTCCATTTGGATTTCAACTGTAGGAAACTAAACATACCAAAAAAGTAAACAAATGCCCAGTTTACCTGCTGTGGAGGTACATTGAATGCCCGTGTTCTGATGTCTACCAAATGGTGACGGTCAACCAAAGGAAGGACAAACACTATGCCTGCCAGAAATAAAATGAAATGAAGTTAGAATGTGGTTTTTACAAATCTTTGTTTTTTATATATATATATATATATATATGAAGAAAAATTTGGAAAAAACAAACAAAAATCCTTAAATGCAATGTTGTTTAAAATGAATGAAATGTCGACGTCTGACGTTTCGGTTTAATAAACCTTCTTCAAGACAATATTCATTAAAATACAATTCAGTTCAATTTGACAAAGATGATGGACATAAAAAACAAGTCTTATCCAAAACAGATAACTGAAAATTTTTAAAATGATCAGCTTTCCGTTTAGCATGGTCACGTTTTTTGTCACATGGGTGACGCTTTCAAAAACGTATTCCTAAAATTTTTGATTATTTTGAATATAAAAAAGAAAATGAAAAGAATTCTATTAGGATCTAAAATTTTTTATGTGTATGCTTGTCGAGCATTAATCTCGCTAAAAAGGGGGAAATATTAAAGAAACCAGGTCTAGTATTCACCGTGCGTGAGATGGATATTATACCTGCTTTACATTTCATTCATTTTAAACAACATTGCATTTAAGGATTTTTTGGTTTGTTTTTTCCAAATTTTTCTTCATTCTGTTGGATCTATATCCATTTACATTTCCATATATATATATATATATATATATATATATATATATATATATATATATATATATATATATATATATATATAAACTTCAAATGTTATAGTAATATTCATATTTGAGATAGATGCCCCATTTTTTTTTTTACATAATTTGGACTATTGTCCTCATCTTTGTTAAATATTTATTACAACGTTTCGGACGTTGTATGCTCTGGGCTTCTTCAGGTGGTTGGAATGTCGAACTGAACCCTTTAATTCACTCACTGGAGTAGACTGTTCTAGTTCCACGTGCCATGTTTAATGGATGTTAGTTATCAGTTATCTCCTGTTAATTTCCCTCTGAAAGTTCTCCACTGCCTTAACCGGGTATTGAACTCACACTCTTGCCATGTTCCCTTGAGGATACATGGCACAGTGGATAAAGACTTTAGTTAGATCCAGTGACAGGACCCGAAAAGTGACATTCCAACCACCTGAAGAAGGCCGGAGTGTACAATGGCCAAAACGTTGTAATAAATATGGCGACAATAGTCCAAATAATGTAAATAATGTACATAATACCTCATCTCAGAAATATAGACAGATTTTTATTTTTATTTTAAACAGTGTGTATCACATCTGTCAACCTGAGTATTCCAGACATTTCAATGAAGAAAATGTGCTCTCTGGCAGGGATTGAACCTGCATCATTGTTTTGTAGGAGAAACCACCACTTGATCTGGTGTGCTTTACCGCTTAGCTACAAAGAGCATTAAAGTTCAGAAAGGTTGTATTTTCCCTTTTAAATTAAAGCACACTTCCTCATTCAGATTACTTTCTCAAAAGCTTCATATCTGCTTAGTTTTATATCCAAAATGTAAACAAAGCAATTGCTAAAGAATTAATGGATTTATTTTTAATCCAATATTTTATGACTACAAATGGATACTCGTATTTGAAACAGACAACCCCCATTTTTATTTTTGTTTCAAACAGCATACACCCCAGCGACAAAGAAGATAGAGTTGTGTAGTAATTGCCAATAATAAATAGTTGTTTGTTATTATCAAAATTGCATCATGATTGTAATTCATTTTCTAAAAAAAAAGTTTACCACGGGCCTATCAAATAGGCAACACCAATTGCAACATAGCAGAGAATGGATCATGGCATGGCGTCTTGCAATACAGGGAGAACAGATTGTGTCATTGCCCTGAGAACCAGTTGGGCTTGCCACATGTAAATGTAATATGACAGCAACAGTGCAGTCTATGATGAGTGTCACAAAGTTTTATCATGTTGTTGGTTTGACATTCTCATTTCTGAAAGCAGAAGATTTCTTCAACCCTGGGACACTATAGTAAAAGAAGCGAATGTCAATAGCAGATAGTCAAGGAAGAAATTTACCCAATCTTTACAGGTAAAACGACCTAACTTCAGTCATTAGAAGAAAGAAAAAAAAGAAACATTTATAACTTCAGAGTTTGATATGATAGTTTTGGCCTATGATGAATTGGAAGCTATTGCATCAGGTGACCACTTCTGAGACTAAGAGTTGTTTTTTTTTTTTTTTTTTTTTTTTTTTTTTAAGCATTTCACCCCAAGCAAAGTGGGAGTGCCATTAGCATACAGAGAGCAAGAGTAAAGTGGGGAGTTTGAGGAAAGGATATAGAGAAGGAAGGGGGATCAGGATCAAGGCATGGCATCAGAAAATGTCAATTGACATTACATTTGAATATTTGAAGATTATAGCTATCAGGGAAGCAAATAGAAGGAAGGGAGTTCCACTGGAAGGAAGTGTGAGAGAAGAAGCTGTTGGAGTAGGAGAGGCAGTTACATTTAACTGTTTCAACAGTAAAAGGGTGGGACCGAGATGCTTAAGTTCATGCAATTGGGGCACCAGTGAAAATAGCTCATCAGAGCAGTTGCCATGAAAATATTTGTAGAAAAGACAGGTAAGTCACATCTCATCTGTGAGAAAGTGACTGGAGTTGAGATACCAGGTCAGGACCTATCACATTGCATATTTGGATTTTGTTGAGAACCTCTAGATGAACAGCAGGGGGCACCAGACCATATATGGCAACAGTATTCAATGCAAGGATGAATGGTAGAAAATTTGAAGGATGGACTCAGATGAGAAAAACCTTCTGGTGTAACACAGAGAACCAACTTCCCTTGCAGTAGATGTAGCTATTGATTCAATGTAGTTGTTCCACCTCAGGTCAGTGGAAAATGTGAGACCAAGAAGGTGCAGAGAGACACTCTCATGAAGTTGAGCATCAGCCATGTTCATAGGAGGCAGGGAGGTTTCTCTATGGTGGGTAAATAAGAGCAGTTTCATTTTGAAGGCATTTAAGTTTACAAGCTATTTCCTGCCCCAGTCAACCACAGATTGGAGATCCTTTTCAAGACCAATGGCCAGGTTAACATTCATACCAATTATGTTAGTAAAATACTGCTGGTAAAAAATGTAAAGGTTTTACCGGGAATGAAAGTAAGTACAACTGTGGTGGTAGATGTGAAAGATCGAGTTGAGTATTGGAGGGGGGGATGGTTAAGAGGAAGAAAGACACAAAACAAAATTAACAAGGATGAAATTACAACCCCAGAGAAATTTTTTTTTTTAAATTTGGTTATTGAGGGATAACAGAGATATGATCATAAACTGATAGTCGGATAGAACCGAAACTGTAATGCAATATTTATTTTGAAAATACAAAAATGTGGCACAAGCCTAAAAAGGGGGGAGGTTGGTCTTCAATTTGTCTTCTTAGCTAGTCATGATTACTGGCCCAAACGTACCACAGTATTCCTTACATCAAAACAATACATACTTACCATTCTTACTCCAGCCACCATAATACTTCTGAGTTTCTATGAAAACTGTAAAGACTCTGAAGCTTAAGACAGACCTGGGTGAACAACCACTTATAAAACTGAGAACCTATTGAACACATATACATTATCAAGGGTTGATAAAAACTGCAGTGCAAGAGATGATAGAATCAGGGATTGTTCAAAAGTCACAATCCCCATAGAGCTTTCCAGTTGTGTTGGTCAGAAAGAAGGATGAGGCATATAGATTCTGTATGGATTTCAGGGTACTGAATAGGATCAAAAAACTCCTTTCAGGTAAGTATAACAGAGATAGAAGCCATAATTGATATAACCTCCCCAGGTTGATAAGAAATTGTTGAAATATATATTGAACCAAATGGTTCAGACCATTTTCATTAGCAGGTTTGACAAACCTTCTATTGGAATCAACTGAGTTAAAGGAGGGGAAGAGCTTGTGGGCTGAAGATGGAAATAAGCAGCAAAACAGTCGGAGGATTTGTGCATAAATTAATCCTTTGAAAAAAAATATTTAACATTTTCCAGCTAACAAGTCATAATCCTTTTGAAAAGTATATAAGCAAAGTTTCTAGACCAGACAAGCTAGTAAGGAGATAGAGACGGCAACATATGGCAGCAGTTCTCAATGATGTGGCTTAAAAAAAATTTCCATTACTCATTCACCTGTCTTCCTCACCAAGTTATGTGACACTTACACTTTCCTTTTCACTTTCTTCCTTGCCTTTTTTCTCACACATACACACAGTGAAATCACATTTCTTTTCATCTTGTCAAACAGCAACAAACAAGGACTATGAGAATTTAATACTAATAAATGATACAAAAAATTTAGTTCTAAAAGCACAAATAAAAATATTCTATATTTAAACAGCTTTCATGTCTTTTTTTTTTTTTTTTTTTTTGTGGATTGATTCAGATCTGCAACCAGTTAACTGGAGCACAAGGTTCAAACAACTGTTAAGGCAGTTGATATTCATTATAACACTCATTGCCATTGATTGATGATATCTTGGCTCTGCTAAGAAAAGCTACTTGTTTTTCAACCCTTGACTTGATAATATAAGTTTAATCTAATATGGTGGCATTTTATGGATTTTGAATAGCTGCTGTTGATTTGATAAATTTAGGCAATTTATGAAAACACATGATTGGTAATTCTAGTCATTAAAAACATAGTTGCTAAGGAAATTGGTTCGGACAAAAGAGTTTATCAATAGAATAAAGAGTAAAAAAGTTCCCAATCAAATTACCTGGACCTTTTGTTTTCAACATCCAGCCTAATCGAAAGACAACAAGTCGTTTATGCTCAGGTACAACCTTGAAAGAAAGAAAAAAAAAATTATTAAAAACAAAATGTCAAATGGCATACAAGAGTTTACTTACATTTAATTATTCCTTTCTTTAAAATAAATTTGTTGTTTCTCTCTTTTCCAAAACTTCTACTACAAAAAAACTACAATATCTTGATCCTAATTAAGTTTTTTTTTCTTTTTTTAAATCAATTCACCCCAAGCAAGGCGATAATGACACCCCTACTGGAAGTGAATGAAAATGAGAAAACTTTAGAAGGAATCCAAACCCAATCTTTTGTGATGTCAACAAATACTTGCTGTCACTTTCATAATGCTCGTTGTAGTAGAGACTTTGTAATAGCAGATTGCAACTATAGTAACACTGTTGAACAATACTGGTGTCAGACACCTTCAAATAGTACTCACACTAATAGAACTTGCTTGAATAGTAATCCGTATAGTGATCTGAATAGCAAAATAGTATAATGTATAGAGTAGAGAATAGCCATCTGTATAGTAAAAGAGGATAGAGGACAAATAGCAATCATTCTAGATGTGTTGCAACTTCCTATGTATGCGTTTCCTCTATGGTCACGTGATCAACTTAATTCAACAATGTGTGTTTGCTTACTGGTGATCTATGTTTAAACTCAAGTGTTGGCAGCAACACTTTATTCCTATATAACACAATCCTAAGCAGGAAAGAAGAGTTAAACTTCTAGTCCTGTTCAAAAGACTGCAGAGGAGCGTGAACAGAATGACGGGTGTTATCTAAATTTTTTTGAAAATAATAAAAGAAAAAAATTATTTAAAATAATCAAAAAAGCATTCAAGAGTCCACATTGAATAATGTCTGCAAGTTAGTCTATTTCCCCAAAATTTAGGCTATATCCCCCAGGTCAAAGATGACTTTTTATTTTTCTTAATTTTATGTTTGTTGTATTTTTGTTTGCAAAATTTTCAAAGTCAAAATTGAGGTATTTCCTCAAAACTGAGAAACAACAGTACTTAGGAAGAGGTGCTGCAAAGTTCTCAGCCCTACTGAGAAACTCTTTCTATGTTGTTCATTTGTGTATGAACAAAGACTGTATACCAACAGAGTACATAGAATGGTATGAAATGGCAATCCAGACAATCTTATGTCAATGTTACCGGTTCGTACCCAGTCTTGAAAAATGTTGTTAACGTCTTTCATGATGCCTTGCATGCTCACATCTGTGAATGGCAAGGCATGTTGTGCTGTTTGGGTTGTGTGTGAAACTGAACTTGTGTATGGAAGCCTTCGCCCATATCCTGAACAGAGGTGATTCAGCTTAACCCAGTGATCAATGGAGGAGGCATTCAACAGTAAACAAAAAGCTGTTGCTGCTGCTGCCTTAGCAGAGACCTGTCAACTATATATGATAAAATGTGACACTACTGCCTCACATCACTCAGTTATGTGCCATGCTTGATACACGCTTAGGCGATCATGTATCTTTTGATACATGACTGATGAGGCAGATTTTTTCCCCACAGTAGGTTGCGATTTCTTTCTGCTGTAGACCAGTTGCCATTTAAGGCTATAGAACCCGGTCTATCCTGCTACTTACCCATAGATGGAGGGACCACTGCTCAGGCAATTCCCAACAAATCCTTAGGACACATGATTATTGAGATGATCACCAGCAGGAGATTCATACTATTTCAGTGACAAACAATAGTGACCCTTATGTCCTAGCACCCACAATAGTTAACAACTATACAACAGACATCCCACAAACAACTTGCCAAAAGTACCTATATGCTGACGACATTGCCATCTTCTTTAAACACAATAATACAATTACCGAAGTTAAGCAACATTGAGCCTTGTCAATACCTAGATGGGTGACAGCTTATGAATACCAGATGCTGTAAGCTTGAATGTACAGGTGGGGTAATGGATAGTGGCTTGGAATTGTTAATCAGAAAGCTGAGTCCCAGTTCAGTTCATTATATTCACTTATGTGCAAATACCCTTGGGTAAAGGTATAAATCCACTTCATCTCCCCCAGCTATGGGTTAATTAGTAAGACTTGTATCACTAAATCATTATTATCTCAAAAAAAAAAAAAATTCTTACAATCTAAAAAATATTTTCAAGCTTATTTTTAAATAAGCTGCAAAGAGTTAATCTGTAGAAAGCAAAACAATCAATCAATAAACACAATAACTCAATGTAAAAAAAAAAAAAACAATTGATGGCAACATATCTGACAACTTGATCATGCTAAGCACCAAGTTCCATCTCTTTATACAATAAATCTGATGTTTTATCAGATTTTAGAAAATAGATTAAACTAAAAAGATTTTAGCACCTCCTCATAAAAATAAGTAGAAAATAAAAGAATATTACCTTAAGACTAAGCCATATTGAAATTGGCATTGTTAGAAGAAATATCAGAAAAGATGCTGCCAGCAGGACCCAGTGTCCAAGACGAGTAGAGAAAGAAACTTGATCTGAAATTTTTGAAAAGAGAAATATTTACCAAAGACAAAAAAGGTGATTTATTAGGGAAATCCTGAAAAGCAAATAAATACAAATTTTTAAAATACTAAGAAATATTAAGTACATTTAATATTAAAAATATATGAGAGTAATTAAAAAAAAATTAATGCCTGTACTTCTTTTAATTGCAACAGATTTAACTGTAGAAGTGCACAAAGTGTACAAAAATGAACTGGCCAAATCACCAAATGTGTTTTGTTTCTTGTTCCTGCAGGTATGCAGAAAAATTGGGAAAGACCAAGTGTAAGTTCATAAGGAAAACAGAAAGGTGCAATTAATAAGAAATGAAATTACAAATCTTGTTTCCATTATATTGGTTATTTTATTCAGGAATTCATTTGGCAGTCTTGGGTGTTGGAGGTAGATGAAACTTGGGATAACTCTCCTACTTCTGTCATGACAGACTAATGGATCAATTCTTCCCTTCAGCCACACCTCTACTTATTTCTACATCACAACACACAGTTTGCAACTCACCCACAGATGGCTCAAAACTCTACATTCCAACTGTAACTCTGCTAATATAAACCTGCAACTGGAACTTCCTAACTTCCAGCTAAGTGTCACTTGATCCCAAAAGTTTTCACTTAATTATTTACTTTCTCTAATCCTTTCAGTTAGCAGGTGATTACTTCAGAAATATTACTTTGTAGATTTTATTGTCTATTTAATTATAAAAACTACCACACTTTGGATCATATCCACTTTAATTCATGGTTGTTCTAAGCCAATTGTGTGGGAAACCCATTGTGTCACAAAAAATTTCAAGATTCAAACTCTAATCAACATAGATTTTTTTCTTCTCAATGGTGGTATTTCATTCTTGAATGAGGGCATGTATACCCGTGATTGCTTCCTTTCTATAAACATTCACTAACCTTGTGTGAATACTTGCAGCACTATCTCCTTTGAAAAACTTTCTATAATAGCTCTTTACTTTCTATTTGTGCCCACAGAAGTAGCCATTTTGAAAGTGGATTATTGGTAGGGAAGGAAAGGCAATGCCACAAATCTTCCACAAGATTTCTAGATACTTTGTTTTATAGCTACAAAAGAATGAAAATTCTAATGCTTTTAAAAATAAATTAGAACTTAAATTACTTTCTGATCAACAACCATATATTGCCTATAAGAAGTTATAAAGTTCTTATGGATAATTTGCAATGAAAAACAAAATATTTATCTATATATTAATTTGAATTCCATAATTATTCATTATTTTTCTCAGACAATGCATGTAAAAAATAAAATGTTTATTAAAGGTTCATAATTAATATTAATTGTTTAATATCAACTTAGGCATAATCTCCAACAGAAGCTCTTGGCCAACACTTAGGCCAAGCATAAGAACTACTTTTAGGTAGAAAACCACAATATCACTGACATCTGTGGGATAGAACACAAGTCTTTTTTTTCTTTTCAGGAATGAAAAACACCTGATGATAATATTCTTTTGTGTACGATATTCCTTCAAGACATGGGTGATTATGGCTCCTGATAACATCTTATTTTTTTTTTTTTGTTGCTCTAAGTAACTGTTACCAGCTTTTTTTATCATTGTTCTGCCTCGATTTTAATATCAAGCTCACATCTCTTTTGCTTATGATGATTATTGCCTTCTTGCAATAAATAGTTAATCCTTTCTTCATGATTTCTTTTACAACCATATCTAAGAATTCTTCCAGTTTTCCTAATGATAATGTCAAAGATTAGGATACATTTTAAATTTTTTTTTTTCTGTTGACTTTGTTCTTTAATTTTCATTTATTTTTTAAATGTATCTTAGAATTTAAAAAGAAGCCTGACTGTTTAGGTATGGTTTTCAGGCCCTTCCCAATGGTTCCACACACCAATCATCCAACCCCCCGCCAGGCCAATTTTATCAAGAAGTCACTTCCTTGACAAAGTGATCATAGTGAGATTTGAACACAGGTCTCATGGTTGGAATGCTAACAGTCTAGCCACTCAGGCTTACATCCAACTGTTAATTAATAAATTTGAAACTCATACTAATTTAAAATGTCTGTCAATGTGGTTATACAAAAATCAAAATCTGTTTTAGTTTACATATTGAAGTTGTCAGAAATATGAATGCTTGCTGAGAGCCGATTAGGGAGGATATCATCAACTTTCTCAGCTATTTTGTAAAACATTACAATACCAGCATCCTGTAGCTATTTTGTAAAACATTACAATACCAGCATCCTGTAGATAACAGTAGAGATGATGGACAAACCACAGACAAAGCCAATGCAGAAGCAAATGAATGGGAATTTGTGATCCTCATTTTTGGAGTCTGCCACAGGGGAACCCATCCTTCATACAGACACCACACCCATAGCAATCTTGAGGGTCTTCTTTCATGAATCAAGTAACCCAGAATTGTAAATTCCTGAACTGCAGTAGATTGGTTGAGTTCAGGTTCGATTTCTTGAAAATGTTATTCAGTTTCTGGATAGACTGTTGTGTAAGAGATGGAGAACTTGGAGTTTAGTTTTTGCATGGGTGATCTGGTTTTGACATTTTGAGTATAATAATCTTGGTCATATTTTGGTATGAGTGGCGAGGGACCGAGGTAGTGAGATAACAACACTCTTTGTGATACCTGTATATCACCTACCTGGATTAATTGCCAGAAAACAAAGGCATACCTATGTACTTCATCATGAAAGCAAGAGGCCCTACTGGATACTACTGCTACATCCAGACCCCATTAATCAAATGACAATATAGTAGCCCCCATATACACCTGTTGATAGGATCTAAACTTTAGAATAACTCCTAAGAAGGCTATCCTATCAGGTGAACAATCAAGGACAGAGATGAAAATTAGAAGAAATTATAGACATACTACTGAAGTGAAACTGACGTTTACGCAAAGATCAAAACAGATCTTCTCTTTCAATCAGAAACATTATGCTTGTGCCAAGTACTCAGACACTGGGACAAGTTCTCTCATTTGGGAGAACTTAAGGACCTACTAGGGGAAGCGGGGTCGAAAAAACCTGATCAGGGATGAGCTATCATCTCCTACTCTTATTTCTAGATCATTTTCAGAGCTGAAGTTATCTTCCTGCTATCCTATGCCTTTACAAGCCAGATCAGGATGAAAATGGATTACCGCTACCATATATGGGCAGGAGATGTCTAGTCTTCAGATTCCAGTTTCAAGATTCAAAGAACGTCTCTGTAGCCTTGTGGGTAATTAATTATTTCCACCTTACAATCCCTTTCACACAGATGAAATATTGCAAGCCTCTCACTACTCTGTTGCTATTTCCATGGGCAGCCAAACTACGTTCCTTAGTTCCACCAGTTCTAACTTTCACAACTAAAACCTTACCATGCCATGAACATCGTAGCAAACCACCCTCATTCCCCTTATATTCCATTAATGAGATGTGGGCATCTCAGCGTGGTGTAATGCTTAGCAAGCTTGTCTTGCTAGATCAATTACAACTGAAAAGTGAGTTCGATCCTCACTAGATGACCCATACTTTTGGCCTTGTGCCACATCTAAGCTATGCTTAGAAAATAGTCATTGAGCACCTCTAGTTTGTGTAATGGCTAGCAAGCTTGTCTTGCTAGAACAATTATGACTGAGTAGTGAGTTCAATCCTCACTGAGTGCGCCATGCTTTTGGCCTTGTACCGCATCTAAGCTACACTTGGAAAATAACTATTCCATTAATGAGATGTAAATTCCACTTAAAAAGCTTCTTTCCACTGCTTTGTGGAACCAACTCCCAAGAGGTTGCTTCCCTGATCACTCTCTTTTTGTAGTTTTACCCACCTCTATGGCACCCTGGTAAGGTGGTCTGCCCGATTCAGATTGGACTTGACGAATGTTATTTCTACCATTAAGCAGTATTCAGCTGCAAGCTTGCGAACTGTGTCCAGCCATCTCTGCACCAGCATTTCACCAGACGCCTTCATAGTTAGGGTGTCTCAAATCTAGTGATGGACACATGCAGAATCAGTAAAGAGATGTAATATTGACACCCGCCATCAAAGAGCCAAACTGAAACTGTTTGGACAGGTGCTCTCTAACACATATGACAGGAACCAAGCTCTTGTTGACATAAATGTCATCAATATATGCCGATGTGACATTCCTAATGGCTTTGTCTTGAGACATTACTGTATCAATTATGGCTTTCATAATGAGAGGTGCCACATTTAAACTGAAACCCAGTCGAGTGAGGCAGTATCTTCAACCCTTCAATATTACAGTTTGATAGGGCCACAGCGCCTTGTCAACATGTATCAGCAAATCCAATAAGAATATGTTAGCACCAGCCCCCAAACCTCCAATCATTGCCATTCCTGCAACTTTTGTGCACACACCTCTGAGTTAGTGGTATACAGTTCCACAAAGCAATTTAACTCTCAGTAATCCAGTACTGGATAAACTTTCTGTTTGCTCTCTTATATAACCACCATTAATGGGATCAGACACTTAGGTGGGCCAAGTTCATCTTCAGGATATGGCTGCAGCTATCCATTATCCAGCCATGACTGGAGCTCCATCTCATATTTGCCTCATCGAACCATGCTAAGCTGTATAAAAGCCAACGTTACAGAACATACACTTCCAGAATAATCTAAAATGGGGAGAGGAGATTCATGCCAATTTCAAGGAACAAAATGCCACTGCTATATGTCATGTATTGAGGTGAGGAACTTATTCTCCTTTGCACCAGCTGCAAGCCACGCTGACTCTATGTAATTGTTCACTACAAGGATGTAACTCCTGATGCTTACTGCACCATATGCAACCAACTCTGGGTTTCTTGTTGGGTTGACCCAGTTCTCTGTTACAGAGAACTTACATAGTCCCTTATGTAAAATATTCGTTGGGGGGGGGGGCTGAGACTAAACTATTTTATAAAATATCCCCAATGTTTATATATAAAGGTGAAAAAAACTATTTGCATAACTAAGCAAAAATGAAAATTAGTATAGTAAACACCACACTTTAAACATGGCAGTGATAACAGATAAAAAAACACTGCAGAATTAATATAGTTCAATTCAGACAATCATTATTGCATTTGGATACCTTAACAAATACAAAACTCATATTCTCAAAATTAAAGGTCACCATGCAGCTACCAGAGAACTAAAATCTTTGTCACTTAATGGAGAGGGAAAGGAATTAAACTGAACAAAAGATGCAAAAATAAAAGGCTGCTAACCTTACATACTCTAGCTAAGACTTCCAAAGTCTTATGAAAGAAATATCATCTAAACCACTGAACTGGGTTAACACGACCAATCAGAGGACCAAAATTTTCATGCCTAGCCAACATCTTGATGGAACTCCAGATTAGCCCCATCTACATGAACCAATCATAAAACAGCCACCCACCTCTCACTAAGTTTCAACAGAGAGAAGCTCTTCCTCCCACTCAAATCTTCCCTTTAAGCTGAGGTAAATGATTAGTTGTGAAGAGGAGAGCTTCACCTCCATGAAATTCCTTCAGTCATGTCAGTGACTTTATAATCTTCCAGATCACAAAAACTGCCTGACTTCAATTAATTCATTCAACAATTGCACATTATGATAGTCCTTGATTTCAAAGTTCAACAATTCTATCATGTTCAAAATTAGGAATGGTTTGGTCTTTTTCCCATACTATGTAGAATTGGCAGGTATTTTAACAATTCAGTCAGTTATGTGCCATGTGTGATACATGCTTAGGAGATCAAGTATCTTTTGCTACATGACTGACGAGGCAGATTTTTTCCTGCAGTAGGTTGCCATTTCTTTCTGCGGTAGACTAGTTGCCATCCAAGGCTATAGAACCCAGTCTCTCCTGCTATTTACCCATAGCTGGAGGGGGAAGAATAGGATTCATACCTTTCCCAAGAGTATTAACACATAAGTGAATGTAATGGATCTGACTGGAACTCGGCTCTCCGATTTCTCAATCTAAGTTGCTATCCATTATTCCACTGTGCCTCCTTTAACAATTCAATAAATCAAATTGTGAACTCTTTTATATTATATGAATTGTCAATGAGTTTAAAGTTTAGTCCTATTAAAATTTTCAGTGATTAAAATACCATTAAAACTGCTCAATGTTTTATTATTAAACAGTTTTTATAAAATGACCAACCTAAAAGAAAACAGTTAATAAATTTATTCTAAAAAATTAATGAAATTATTTAAAATTTTAATTTGAGTTTAAAGTTTTGTCACTTATTGTATATAACATAAATTAATGACTTGTCAGAGTTAAATCCTCCTTAATTTCCTAATTGTTCACTAGGGGTCGGTCTCCCTACACTATAAATACTGTGCAATTTCTTGCCTTGTTCTTTTTCATTTCTTCATTTTCAGCGGACACATCTACAATGTAATCTCTTACAGAAGAAAGCATCTTCCCATTTGTGGCAGACGCCATGAACATTATACACACATACATGTACGTATGAACATTCACCAAAATACAAACTCTTTATGTTCACACACAAACACAAATGTTAACGTCTATGTCCATTGTAAAATTTTGTTGTTTAATACATATACTTGTTTATATATATATATATATATATTGGTCTTGTTGGTTTTCTTTACACTTCTTTATGGTGGATTCAGTCCACCATGTTCTTCTAGTGGACCTTCTAGCAGGAATAAACACACGTGTACCTAATTCAACAACATATAAACCAACACGGTCATCTGCAGACTAATTAAATGAAAGAAACTTAGAGAAATAAGAATTAAAAAGAAGGTGCAGTAGTTAATTAATGACTGTGTCAGTCATTAATACTACAATTTAATTATATCTTAAGCATTAATGAATACTTACCAAACTGTAATTTGACAAAATTAGAATCCTGTTCATTATTATATCTGAAGATTGATCGATACTTTTTCTCTAAATTTCTGTTCTCATAAGAAAATGGAGAAGAAAAATCTATTTTCTCTTCCATTTGCAATTTTTGATATTTCACAGACATTTTGGTTTTTGGTTGAATTCTGCAAGGCAAAAAACATAAGAGTTAAAATGCAATTCAAATACAAAATATTTTGCAAAAATCAGCAGAATTGTAATTTTTTGTTTCTGCTTTCTCCACTGCAGTTTATTTTAGATTAAAAAAAATGTTTTGATTTTCTAAATGATTAATGGTTGCAATCATAGCATGAACTTTAGTAGAGTTGCACAGTGAAACCTTCCTACTTTCCTTCCCTGGGAATAGACTCATCTGACAATAAAAATGAACCAAATCTTCTTTCAGAATGAAATCTTCCTCTGTGGATAATGTCAATGTACACTTCTACTGGAAACTATGCAAATTAACTGTGTCTTTCTTATGCAGCTGAAAATACTTATACTCTCAAACAGCTGGTAGGCCTCTTAGTTGAAACCTGTTCTTGAGCCATATTGCAATTGATTGACCATGCAGATAAATACCTTTGTTGCGGATGTGTGTGATGTGAGTTGGAGAGGAATAGAAGGTTTGAATTATCAGAAGGCTTAAAATTGTGTGTGTTCAATAATCTTCCATCCACAACAATTAATACAAGACATAGAAATAATGATTCATAAACATCTTGTTTCAAAACGTAACAATTGAATTTATTAATATTTGATATACATGCATGTGAACTGAAAAGCTAGACAGAGTTAAGCTCATAAAGTGAAAGTAATTATTAAACTGTAGTTTAGAAGAATAAAGTTTCTTTAGCATGTTTGGAATTGTGTATTGTACAAGTTGGTAAAAGTTCAGAAGAGATTTCAGAGTTCGTACTTGCATGAATGTTGGTAATGGTCTTTAACATCTGACTGCATTAGTTAAAACGGGAGTTCTTGAAGATTACATCTTGGTACTTGGTAGCAAGGAATGAGATGCGAGAGAGAGATGAAAAGAAACTACTCAGGGAGCTTACACATGTTCTGTTTATATAATGGTCGTGTATCACGTGGGAGGCTCCAAGCATATTGAGCTGGAAAACAGATTTGTCACGTGCAGGCAGTTTGATTCATCGGAACTGACCAATCAGCAAGCTAGATTGAAGGTGATTAACCAATGAATGCTTGTTATATATTTGTAAGATGGTGATGGTGAAAATTATAACAGGAATAGTGCATTTCCTAGCAGGGGTTAACTGGCTTGTTGTGGAAGATTCCACACCTTCTCTTGGAGATGCTCTGGTTTCTGAAATGTTCTTTTATGAGTCATATTCTACTTTGAGCGTATATATTGGCATCATGTCAATCCATATTCTTCCTAGTGGTGATTAATAATTTGATGGGGAAACATTCCAACCACCTAACCTATTCATCAATTATTTTTTTCAATAAAAAAATGGCTCAGAATATGAGATGAGGCTAGCTATAGAAATGTGTAACGTAGTTAATTCTGTACTTAGTATGTATGTATGTATGTATGTAAATATTGTTTAGAGCGACAAAAAAAGAAATGCTTTATTTATTTTTTTTTATGCTGACCTTCCTATAATTCTGCGTTAAGAGAACAAAATATTGTTTCTTTCACTGAGTGAGGGATGCACTTGATGTTAATTTTTTTTAATATCATCTCCCACCAGGACATAGGCGGTCATGACTCTCCACAGATTCCTTTCCCTTATTAGATGTGAAATACTATGTATTTTTTTGGTGGAAAAATAGTGTGGTTTCCTGTTGTTTCCTTCTCTTTAACTGGTTGCCACCCAGTCTAAGACACATCTTTACAATTTATTTTGTTGTTAACAAAGTAGGTATTTATTTATAATTTACGAATTTCAGGTTTAAAATAGTGTAACACGCCCATAGGCACACATACCAAATACAAGTTAAAACGGGTAGATTTCATTATTGATTAATTTTGCCAACACACTCATCTTGAAATTTTAAATATTATTAGATAAAATATCATTATTATTTTACTTACTATTTTTATTTTAATTTTTAACAACTTTCAAATTATTTTTTTAAGCAACGCAAATAAATCGGAAATTCCGACGAGAAATTGCATATCTTCAAATTCTTAATTTTTTAAACTCCAAAATTCTTAAACAATATTTAACACGGATAATTCAACAGCAAAACTTTCCTGAGTAAAAAAAAAAACAAAAAACAAGCAAAAAATAACATGAATGATGGCAAAAATTGTCAATGTTTGAAAACAAAAGAAAGGTACTTTTAGTTTTCTCTTTTAATTTTGTTTTTGATAAAAATAAAATACTTACCACAAAAGAAATCCGATTTATTACCGAACAAGAGCGAATCATTCCAGAATAATAATCGTGAATGAGTTAAAATCATTTGACTTTTATTTTAAGGAAGAAAAAAATTAAAAAATACAAATGAATGTCCACTCCGAGCAAAACATAAACAATTATAAAATGTCGACTTCAATTGAAAAGAGTTCTTCGTTAAGGGCAGATCACTCTATTTAACTTTATCGTTTTCTTTTATTTATTTGTATATTCCTTTTTTTTTTCTTAAGGAGTTATTTTGTATTTTACGCATCAGAGACAAACTAGTGAGTCTTTTTTCTCTAGGTTGAAATAATTTTTCTTAATGTAAGCCTTCTGGTTGAAACAAAATTCCCGTCCCGAAAAAGAACTCTAATAACTTTTTTATTTTTTTTATTTTATTTTTTAATTATTATTCAAGTTGTGGTTATGGCAAATAATTTGTCTACACAATACATGGTTTTTTTGAGATATTGTTTTTAAACTGGTGAATTTTTTTTTTTATTTTCCATGGTATGTTCGATGTGCCTTGTTTTGTATTTTTGAGATTTCATATGTGTTTTGAAATTGCTGTGCATATTTTGTTTTTAAGTAATATTTTACATGAGTAGTTTCTATTTCTAGGGACTTTCTATTATTTCAGTACAGTATATATATATATATATATTCCTAGTTTTCTTTTGAACTTCACAGTAGCTTTGTATATGGTGTTGGTTTTTAGGCATTTACAAGTGGGGATTGTTGGATTTTGTGTTGTACTGGTAAGTTTCCTACTATATTTTTTCAGGTTTAAAGTATTTCTGCTGAATATTTTGTGCAGTTCATTTTGGAATGGGTTTATAGATGATATTCGGAATTAAAAAACATGATTTTTTTTTCTTTTTTGTTACATTACCTGTTTTGGTGAAAATATTGGTTTATACATATATAAATATTAAAGTGGACACTGAGGTTAACACTAAGCAGTGACAGCCTATTTTATGCTGAATGTAATCTTCAGAACATGTGTGTTGTCTTGACTATGTAGTGGACCCTGGTAGCATGCAGTTCTGGCCTATGAAAAGATGGCCTTGTGCTTACTTACGACTACCGAATCCACTAACAAAGTAAAAAAAATAGAATAAAAATGACTGTATTCAACACGTGCATCATAGGGCAAAAGGATAGGTAGCCAGGAGTAACGACAAAACGAGTCTGGTGGAAAACAAATATAAAACTTTATTTGAATAACAAATAATCTTGTCTCAACAGCGGAGACTATCAGAAAAAGGTAAGGACTGTTCTTAGCCAGTAGGCAGATTGTATAATGTAGTGACTAGTAGAATGTTAAAGTTCCACGCCAAAACAAAATCAAAATGGCTAAGGCGGGAAAAGCTTCTTCAGAAGGAAGGTTCTGGAATATAGTCTTCTTGTACAAAAGGTGTATGCGTACACAATAAGGAAAAATACTCACTGCGAGGTTTAATAATGTGTGTGTGATGTTATCTCTTTTTTTTTAACTGGTTCGTAAAGGTTAGAAATCAAAAGAGGTGTATGAAAAGTCCATCAATCTTCAGCGAAGAAAAACTCTGCGTTCCCTGGTAGTGAACAGAGGAAAGTTTGAACAAGTTGTTCGCTGAAGGACAAGGAATTAGTCTTAAAAGTGTGATGCCGACAGTGTCGTAGACTCTACGTTCTCTAGTAGAAAAATGGAGGAAGGTTCAAACATGTTGTTCGAGACAACTTACAATCACAGGAAAAATATTCGGCATAATGAACCAAGGTGTCACTAGGAAATTTTGGTTAGTTAAGATATTCCGGTCTGCGTATGGGTAAGGGGGCACGAAATAAACGAGTCAACCTTCTTCTTCTTCTGGATACAGGCCGCGACTGACTTGAAAAACAAAGTTTGTCAGTGACGTCAGAGAAATGCGCGGGAAAACTTCAAATTCCGTTCTAGCTGGAATCAGGAGCAGCTGGCCAGCAACCTTCCTCACGTCGGCGACAAAAGGTGTTGTTTACTACTATATCTGGCCGAATGTGAAAGGAAGGGGTGCAATACGCGCACGCAAAAATAGGTGGAATCCATACACGATTCCACAACTATATGCTGGTCAATGGTGCATTATGAGTAGCAATGTCAATTGTATTATCCTAACGGTTAATGGGTAGGTATTAACGGTCATATTTGAAATATAACCATTACCATCTACTCAATAACTATTAGGATAATACAATAGATATTGCTACCCATAATGCACCATTGACAAGTATATATAAATAGTTGTTCTAACACACATAGTCTGAAGATTGTGCTCAAGCATGAAACAAGCTGTTGCCACTCGGTGTTGACTTCAATGTTCACTCTCATATTTACATATGCTTTATCCTTGATATTGAGCACTTTTACCCATAAATATAGCATACTTTAAAACTACATTTTTATCATATATATATAGATAGATAGATAGATAGCCATTCCCAACGTACGCATATATACATGCACAAGAACATAAAAATCCAACCAAATACAAAATTATTGCAACATTCCATTACATTTCACCAACGTATACGAAGGTGACATCTATAGACATTCCTCACACATATTTATTGCATGAATACATGTAACATGTATCTGACCCTTAAGATCTAACCAAAATCATAAGATACCAGTGCCTTGTGTCTCTTTGATTTTTTTAATTTCTATCTTGATCTCTGATGAAGCTTTAATAAAAGTGAAACATGTTAGATTGAGATATGTTTCCTACTTGTTCTTTATTTTATTTTATCATCTTGTCGGATTCCTATCCATATCTGATCTACATTTGATCTTCAACTCTCTCTCTCTCTCTCTCTCTCTATATATATATATATATATATATATATATATATATTTGTAGTAGTAGTAAATACAGCTAAGAAGTAGATATAAGGGAAGGAGTGAATATGTCTGCCTTTTTTAAAAATTAGAAATGTCTAATTGTATGCATACAATGGGGTCCACATCCAGCTTTCCACTACCCAAATAATGACTACTCCATATTGTGTTTCTATTCTCATTTGTGTCAAAATACACCAAAAACAGGAAATGACCCGATGCAAGTTCACAAGCTTGAACCCTATCTCTAATATATTTTTTGGCCTTTCAAGGAATTCACTTGCACAACCTGGGTGGTTAGATGACACTTGAGACAACTTCTGCCATATCAGGCTATATGACCCTTTTCTTCTCTTCAACTCTTCCTCCTTCTAACTCTCTGCCAATATCAACATCACAATATGTGGCTGATAATTCTAACAGGTAGCATTGGGACTACCTTGAGGGACAGTTTATCCCTGTAAAGGGGTGGTTCAGAACACTCAATCTCAACTGTGACTGTTAATATATACCTTTTCAACTTCAAAATGATAATAATCAACTTCAAAATGGACTTATTTTCAAGTAAAAAAATTAATCAACTCCAAAATGGATTAATCAACTTCAAAATGAAAAATAATCAACTTCAAAATGAGAAATAATCAACTTCAAAATGAAAAATAATCAACTTCAAAATGAGAAATAATCAACTTCAAATTGGAAAACAACTTCAAAATGAGAAATAATCAACTTCAAATTGGAAAACAACTTCAAAATGAGAAATAATCAACTTCAAATTGGAAAACAACTTCAAAATGAGAAATAATCAACTTCAAATTGGATTAATCAACTTCAAATTGAGAATTAATATAATACTAATAAATTTAATACTTATTCTATTATTTTTACTTAAAAGGGATATAAAAAAAAATATAAACGTTATTAAGAAATTTATTTAAAAGATTACATCATCTAAGTTAATTAGAGAGGGAAGTAATCTCTTTATTCCAGATACAAAGTTAGTACAAGTCTCGGGAAATATTATTAATTGCCTCAGAGATCATCAATTCTAACGTGCTGAGGCGGAATTCTTTATTAGTTAAAGATCCCTGAACATCACCTCTTAAAATCCCAACAATTGAGTCTGCCATACTTCTTAATACGTCAGCTTTAATGACTGACCAAACCTTTTCAATGGGATTTAACATCGAACTATAGGGAACAAGTCTGAAAATTTGTTGTTGCCTAAATTCATCTTCCTCCACAACTTCTTCAATTGAAGTATGGCAAGGAGTGTTGTCAATAACTAAGACAACTTCCCTTTCATAAATTTCATTTGCCTTTCTAACGCACTCCCTGGTCCATTCTTTCACATCCTCTTTTTTGAAAGAACCTCTTTTAATTTTATGATGAATTAATCCATTATTACTAATACATCCAATAACATGGATGTTATTTCCCCTGGATCCAGCCGCGACTGTAGTGCACCTCGTGCCTTTTTTAGAGTGACCTTCTCTTCTTGAAATATGGAGATTAAAATTGGTTTCATCCATATAAAGAATTGGCACACTTTGGAACTGAAATTCTAATAAAGCTACTGCGTAATCCTTACGTTTCGCCTCATTGACATTATTATTGGCAGCTTCTGGTTCATAATGAACCACTTTTAAAGTAAAGGCCATGGAGTCCAAGTGCTTTCTTATGCATTCTTTCATCACACAAACCTCATACTTTTCGACCAACTTATTTACAATGTCTTGAAGAGTGACCCAAGGAGAGTTTTCAATTAATTCAGCCATAAAATTCTTATGCTCTTATCAGCACCCTGGTCTAACCAACGGTACGCTGTTGCCAGAGACACACCATTTGTTCTTGCCAGGTCTTTCCAATTTCCTGCTGCGACATATGCAGCTAAAATCTGGGTCTTTTTTTCGCCAGTCACAGTTTTCTTGAGGTAAGTCCTCTTTGGAGCTGTTGCTAATTCTTCTTCAGCTTCTTTTGTAGAGGTTTCTCAAGCATCATCATCAATCATCATTTTTGCCCATACGGGACTTTCTCCTCCTACTTTTACTGTAGGCTCACCCAATGCTTTCTTGGCCTCTAAGTTGTTTGTATTTTGGGTTTTTTTTTTTCATCTATATAATGAAGACAAACAGTCAATTTCCTTACTCATGGGGTAAATTAATTGAAAGAATAA